TTTTTACAGGCCAATTGACAGTAGTAGTTTTATAACCTGTGGACCAATCAGAATAGAGGCGCGCATCACGCACTACCTTGACGCACGTCTAGGCCACATTTGAGTGCTAAACGAGCGGCCAACATACTGGACGTTATTGACCAAGTGGCTGTTAATCGACAGCCACTCTGTTAATTGAACAGATTAACAGCCACTTGATAAATAGCGTCCAGTATGTTGGCCGCCCGTTTAACATTCAAATGTGGCCCAGGCGTGCGTCATGGATAGTGCGTGATGCGCGCCTCGATTCTGATTGGTCCACAGCTGGGAGAGATTCCGATTGGACGAAATTCGCTTACTAAGCTGTTTTTAGGTCTCTTGATTATGACACTCTAATGAGTAGCATTTTGCCCAAAAAATATACTACGATATCTCAGATACTCAATCATGAGGCTCTCTGTGTTAAGGAACAGAATAAACGAGAGTTTCAGCTAGAATTCAGCTGCGTCTGTCGTTGAAACTGGCACGTGTTATGAGACTGTAGGCCAACATGCATTCAAGTATAACATAAGTGTGGCGCAAACTGAGAGACGGTGTCTATCTGGTAAGCTTCGAGAAGGGCAAAACTGTCGTGGCCATCGAAGTATTTTCGGCAAACTTATGAGTGGTGTATTCCACCAAGTGTTTGACCTCGATGACAACACATGTTAAAAACAGGAGGATTGACCTGTGATGGACCCAACATGCCTGTCTTGACAGAAATTTTATTACATATGAATATATCGTCCCTCTGGATATGGGTAACGAGGAAAAATAATGATGTGGGAAACGCCGGTAGACAGAGCGCAGTCATTTACACGACGTCATCCACGAATGAGCGTTATAGCTTCAGTTTATAGGTGCCCACTGACGTCACCCTGAACCGCGGAATAGTCAAAATCCCATTTAAACTTCACGATCGATTAAAATGAAATACGCCAACCAGTGCTACTGTCGTTGATGGTGCTGACGATGATGACTAGGCATGAGAAGGTGGGGATCACAGCGGCTTTACTATTGACGATGAGGTGTTAAATTTTGTCCCATTTCCAAGCTTGCAACCCCACAATGACAGACCTAGTAAACACCGATTCCTAGCTGGAAAAGATGTATTCGTTTCACGAGACGAATTCTTCCCAAGTCCACAAAATCCCGCAGTTCCCAGAAGGACACTCAGTTGGGATTTCCCGTTCTGAAACTAATCCAAGAATCGCGCTCCGACAGACGCAAGAGAAAAAAGTGTTCGGACCAACCTTTGTGTCCACATCACCACTAAGCGACGACCCTGTGGCACGGTGCAAAAACTCAGTTAGTAAATACAACTGGACAGGTTCGGGAATGGTGGCTAAATGTCAGCTAAAAACATCCAAAGATCCCAGTGGTATTTTGGTTGAAAAGTGCAATGAAAGAGGATGACAGTAGTTTGTGATTAAGGAACTAAAACTGACAAGAACTCTCCGGGTAATTGGCGCGGCACTCGGATATCTAAGCCCCATAACAACTTGACTTAAATGAATTTAGTCGCAATGCACTACTCATAAGGTTGCTGAAAATTCTTCGACAGCCCACTACCGGTTTCGCCCTTCTTGGGGCTCATCAGGTAGGCGCAGTCCCCGATTTTCCGTCAACTTTGTGTTCTACTTGATTCATATGAAAAATACAACCAGTTAGGGGACAATGAAATGAAGTTCACACTAGGATCCACGAAACAAATTCAGAGATTTCGTTCTTTCAGTAAATGCTACATATGCTTTAAACCCGACATGTAGCATACAGAGGTTTCATCCTTGTTGGGAATTATCGCCACAGCGCATCTCACTAAGCTCAGAGTTTTCGAACCCGCGACGCTCAGACCAACGGTTGAACTTTTAACCCTTAAGACACCAGCGGTTGGTCAGCAGTGTGATTAGCTTTCAATTAAACGGGACATTGCGCCATTTCTCATCAAATGACGGAATCAATATCATGTGGTCACGTATTATATGGACAGTAAATAGCGCGAATCATCCTCCAATCACAGTAACCACATCACGCGTTCATGCATCTCGAGTGGTGACTTTTCAGATGAAGGCTTTGCTCACCGAATGAATTTTATTTTTCCTCTGAGCTACTTATACATACTCGGTAGTGTGAGTAAATTTGTGAATTTTTTAAGGAGAGACTCCTATCACTGGTGCGCATCTCTCTCGAGTCGCGGCTGATGAAAGAGCTATTGCTTTGCTTTCAAGCATTGAGTGGCTTTACTTACAAAATGAAATGTTTTATCCAGAATGAGCAAATCTCCTCGTAGTACCATCAAAATAATAGTGTAACGGTGACACTACTGATGGGGCATCCGAGTAGTACGTTTTTTGTAAAGCCGCTTCGCGTCTCTTGAAAATTGAGATCTATTGCGGAATTTGTGGAGTCGCATTTGGTTGGAGTTGAGCAACAGTCAATAACTATCCAGAAAAAGTTCAGGAAGACGCGTTCAAGGAGAATATGGATATTCAGTTTTGTAAAAAAAAAGATGCATATAAGCGTTTTGCTTCCCTGTCCAATAGTCTGTAACCGTTCAGTTGGCATTTTCTAATAAATAACTCCGCATCAAAGGCCTTAGTCCTTTAGATGGTAGTTTCTAGACAGCAGACACATGTTGGAATAATGGTTAAAACTGTAATCTTTGTTGACAGCAATAGGTGACACGCATCTCAGAGGACAGTACATCGAACTACTCCAAAAAAACCTTAGGAAATGCATAAGAACGCAAAGTTGGGCCGCCTATCGACCAACAAAAACGGTAACTGATTGGCGCTTTTGGGTCCTTTCTATCCATCTGAATCATCCATTTTCGACCCGTCATTCCAACGATAACTGTCAAACGGTTTTCGCGACAAAGGGGCTTCGATGGTGTCGAACAAATGCTATTACAAATCGGCTCCGGTGGATGGGCTCGCAAATTAGATGTGCACCTGATCTCGAAAACACATTCAGATTTTGAGGAGAAGACAACAGGGTGTGAAAAATGCCCCTAAATATTAGAATTTTTGCTGAGATTTGTGGAGATATCGCAATTAACACATACAAGTAAATAAATAAGTGCTTGCCTGACCAAACTCCACGCTCATTGTCTATTTAATAAGAAAAAGAACAGTAATAATGATAATTAATAATAATAGTGAGAGTAATAATTGCCAAACCGTAACATATTTTTGGTGTCTAGCTGTCATGCCACCCGGAAGAAGCAAGAAGCCTGGGATAACCAAGTCGAGACAAGAGCTGTCGAGATGCCGGAGGCTGAGTTCGAACCATGGACCTTCGCGCTCTAACCACTGAACCATCTCGGTCACAGACTGACCAAGCGGATTGAACCACAAATCCAATGATTCAGACCATCTACTGATGAAAATGTTTCAACCCAAAAGTTTTTGTTCTCGTTTGTTATGGGACCTTCATTACGTACCCGTAGGACGCAGTGCTTGTTGATTTATGCTCTGTACTTCCGGTGCAATGCGTAAATTACTCGCCATTTCTCATCAAATGACGGAATCAATCAATTTGCAGTGCCCCTTCGTGAATCTTCCTGATCCGTGGAAAAAAGCGGGTGCTCTGAATGCGCCAACACGAAATCTCCTACTCAGCGGGATATTGAACTGTCCACGTGACCTCTCTTGTCAGTTCATTTAAGTGGTCTCCACACAGGGAATAACTACTACTACTAACACTACTTCCTACACCCTATTTATCCGCGCACGAAACAGAGCCGTGCGCGGTCACTTGGTCGGTAAGGTAGGAAATGACTTACCCCATAACTCACGGGCTTTCTTAGCTTTTTTTCATGGAAAATCCTCGTATAGGTAACCAATAAGTGTGGCACATAAATCCTGAAGTGTTCCGATTTTTCGTATATCGATCGTCAGATAAATCCTTTCGAAAATTTAAACATCTGTTTTGCTTCACAGGTCCCCGATGAACCCGATTGACCTGCGCTCCTGTTTTTGTGTCTTCAAGAATCCAGTTGATAGCTGACCGGGTACCTCTTTTCCAAATGAGCGAGGTATAAGCCACGTCTAGCGAAACATCTTTCCACTCATCGTTTGAGCAGTAGATGAAATCTTTACCACAGAGGAGACGAATGCTTTCACATCAGGTGTTTCACATCGCTGCCGAGGGAACCTCATTGCTATGAAATTCCTTCGCGAGCTCGACTGGATTTTCTAATCGGCGGAAAACTGAGCGCATTCTAGAGTATCCTGACTTTGACAGTGGACGTGGGTTCTGGAACTACCACAGCGATGCGCAAGATCCGCTGAACATGATACTTTTGACCTGTGCTTTGCCACCGAATTCGACGCAATGCGAACGTCCAATCTGATTGGGCAATCACAACCTATCGATTTGTTCCCGTTTTGCGACATCCAACTACGAGAGGTCGACCAGATTACATGCCATGCGCGCTGCGCACACGGCATCAATGTCTCGCAGCTGGGGCATGTACGCACGATCACCCAACCTCGCGCTTGCCGCATCGAACGGGTCCAACATTACAGCTCCTTGACTGTGGAATGCCCCAACTGCTTCTTCCATCAAACATGGGACAATAATTGGACACCAAGAACGAAATCTCCTATTTTTGAGGGTTACATCAACAAAACGAACGCAAGCGTGTGCAACTATCGTCTTCAATTTCGGAAACCAATCAGTTTTGGCATCGTTTTGTTTGCGAACAGAAAAAAGAACAAGCGGTAGTGAGAGTGTGTGTGGGAGAGAGAGAGTGTGTCAGAGCGAGTGAGTGAGTGAGGAAAAACGCGTGCAAAGTTGAGAGGGTAAACAACACCAGCTCATTTTGAAGATGGTGAATGATTCTGGGCGGGTCTTGAAGTGTAATGTGCCAGTGTATGCCCGTGTGTCAACCATTAGGACAACAACGAAAGAACAAAACAAAAAATGACGAAAACAATAAATAATACGCCTAACCGCAGCAGGCCCACTGACTGTCAGATTCACTGACCAGTTGGTGTTTTCTGGCTGTCAATTGGTCGTTGACCGAATTTTACGTCAAACGGAGGCGTGGGAGCGATTAGTTCCACCTTCTTCGCGGAGCTGACAAAATTTCCGCATCGATACCTCTGGTTAATTGCCAAACCTGTAGGATTCTTTGTGCGTATGGCTCGACCATCGTCTGTGTGACGAGATCTGGAGGCCTAACGAGATTAGGAGCCAGTTAGAACTAGTCTGGACGTAACACACTACTCGAGTGGTTACTGAAAACTCTTTAACAGTCAACGACTCGGGCTCATCAGGTAATCACAGTCCCGTCAGCCATATGTTCTACTTGAACACAAATTGGGTGGAACTCGCCAGATACTCCCTCATGTCTGCATATTAATCTACTTTTAACGAGAGACTCAACTGAATCCAAATGGATCTCTCGTTTATGATGTCCTTCAGTCAAATGCGCTTCACAAGTCTGCTTCATGATTCAGTCGGTACTGCAGCTGAGATCTCACAATTTATTTGCAGAAGTAACACTACTCACAAGGCGGTAAAAGGCAGTTGAATTTAGATAATGTGAGTGCGTTCGCTTTTCACTAGCCATAAACTTTATCTGATTCTGTGGCTTTCAGGTAGCCTTGAAAAGTGTGCTCGAAGTATGCAGTAAATCTCTATGGCCAATCTGGGACCCCGATATAGTGATCTAGACATGATTGCTGGTGTAAGGGGGAAGGCCGTTCGCCGCGAATTCATCTACTAGCAAACGCTAACTAAACGGTTACAAACTATTGGACAGAAAAGTAAACGTCTCATTTGCTCATAGTTTTCAAAAACTGAAAATTCTCAAGAGTTTTCTTGAACTTTCACAAATATTCAGTGACTATTCCGCAATTGTAAACGAATGCTACAAAGCAGTTCCTCAAATTCCTTAATAAACCCCACTTTTCATTAGACGCGAAGCTGAGTTACGAGAAGACAACACACTACTCGCATTTTTCATCAGTAGTATCTGCGGTTACACTGATAGCACAATAACTTAACTGCTCATGAAAAAAGTGACAGAACAATAAAAACCACCTAGTTAGGACGAATAGACAGAACTGCCATGCAGTCTTTTGTGACGATGAATTTCTTGGTCGTTTCATTCTCTATCCGAAGGCAATCTTTTCGGGGTTTAAACACGTGCGCCACGTGACTATCATAATTTCGCAACTCACAGATTCGTCCTGAAAACCTAGCCACCGAATCTTCAAATGAGATTTCGAACCCACGACCTGCCAGATGACAGTCTGAACAAGTAACCGTTCGGCCACAAACTACTGATCAGTAGTGTGATTAACTCGTGTCTAGACTGAATGTGGTGCTTCAGAATGGAATTCACATCACGTGGTCACGTGAGTGGTCACGTCATGTTGAGTGACGACTCCTCACACGTGTGGTTGTGTGTTCATCGTCTGTTCTTCGAGGTCGTACGCATGACTTTTCGTGTGTGTGACGCGTTCTATGGACAACCATTACAGAAGCTGTGGACATCTCTTTCGTTTGATCCTTTTTAGACACAAGAGTCTCTTTCGACCGATTTTCTGGTCCTATTCATCGATTTTTGTATCGATCTTGATTACTACTCATTAAACCGGGTTGATCTGATTCCTATGATCACTTCAAACTGAAAAGCGGTCGTAAATTGGATAGCGCTTGCTGTCTACTTTTTAGGTTAGGCGGACATTCTTGAATAAGTAACCATTAAAAAATAGTTCAAAATTTCAAAATTTCCTCACAATCTGCGGTTTTTACAGGATCTTATCAAACGAATTTAAAGTGTGTTCCCGTCACCATCTTCACGATGACATCACGAGGCATCACGTGAATGCTACACAGTAACTAGCCGAGATTATTCACGGTAGATGCGGCGACGCGATTGAGCATGAGGAGGCGCACTCTCACACATGGGGGTCGAGTTTCCCAATGCAGTGACCCTGGGAACGATTCGAGTCCACATCTGTTATATCTGCTGGTTCGCCAATCTGTGGTATCTGCTGCTGACCCGCTCCAGTGCCCAATGCCGGAAAAAAGGCTCACAGAAGGGCACACAACAGCTATATTCCGAGCAAGCGAGTGCGGGAGCGCGGTGCGTTCGGTGCGAGTGTACAGCGATCACAAGCTATTTATTGGAGGGGCACCCTCTGAACTTGGTTTTGTGCTGACGCACGCGATCTGCTATTGGTACGAGGCTGCGACGCGCTGCATATTGCGGGGGCGTTGTCTGTCTGGTCAACATCTAGCGGAGCCGGGAGTCTCAGTAGATTTCGGGCACTCAATGCTTGCTCTCAGGAATCCGACCTTCCTGATTATATCTACACAAGAATTGGAGCCGTACGACAAATGGATTGCAGGCAATTGAAGACGAAAGAAAAACCTCAGTTGCACAGGGTTTTTTGAGACGATCGCCGTTGTCAGACGTCGTCTCAAGCCTACGTCGTTTGAATGCTTACGCCGATGAACAAGTACTCTGGATCAGCCATCGATTAGCTGCCGGATCAACGCTTTGAACTGACAGCAGATGATAGGCGGAGTTTTTTCCGGTGTGTAAACCGCCATTATACCTCTGTGCGTTTCAGGTGCCAGTCACTAAATGAACAGAATACCGCCATGTCATACTACTCTGGTGGTATCCGGGACGTATGCACTGAGCAAATCAGGGCAACCGAATGTTCGCGATGCTTGAATGACCTGATCACTCTTGTGTCCAGTGGGTCTGTTCTACTGTGCTTCAAACTCAGCGTGCGTCCGTTTAGCAGAAATTTCGAATTTCAGGAGTTCCTGGTCACACAAGGCTCAGATAGCCATACCGTATACGATAGGACCACGGCAGCAGACCCTCGGCACTGATGTTATACCGCCACCGATGACGATGATGACGTACAATAGGAAAAGCTAAAAGTGAAGTGGGGTGAAACATCATATCCAGAGTTTTCAGGTACCACAGGCAAACTTTTTCCATGAACTTCTAAATCTTGTTGGACAGAGCTGATTATAAAAAGCCTCCTTGTAAAGAGGCAATCAAAATTTCGAATGGTTTCATCTTTAATTTTTCTGAAAACGTGAGGTATTACCTGCCATAGTGACGGCGTCGAATGGCCTTGAGAACACGCGACGGTTCTCGTATTTCGTTGAATAAAATTCATCCCGTTCAGTTTATGAACTCATCTCATTGGTCAATCCACTCAGCTACATCGTTCAGAACCGGGGAAGTTGATAAAACGGGCAAATTACCGTACAAGTTGGGAAATCTTCTCTTAGCTTTGACACCCTCTCGGTGCCATGTCATTCAAATGGAGCTCGGAAGTACTGCCATGTTGACCAAATCAAGACACGGATGCCGTTGTTGGGTTCGAACCTAGGAACTTCTGGTCAGCAGGTTCGCTGCTAACCACTGAGCCATCTTGAGCTCAAACCGTATATTAACAGAGATTTTCCGTGCACAGACTGTCGATCGATAGTTTCGGAGTGAAAAGTTTCCCGACAGTTATTTTAGGCCTGAATTCCGATTAAAAGCCGTCGTATCTGCAAGCAATTGAACTGAAATGTTTTCATCTGAAGGCATATACTACACCTGGGTCGAAAAAACAAGTGAGGTGTTGTTACCAAGCACCGGAAACGAGATTCTCGACGAAGCAACTGAGTTCATCCAAATTCACATGATGTTATGCATCATACTACTGGAAAAATCTATGAATCACATCTTTTTCTGGCGCATTGAGACGCACTGCAACACTACGGAGTCAAAAGTCGGAGAAGAGAAACGCAGAGCTGTTCATAAAAATGGATACCCCAGAAATTTCATCTGCCGGACCGTCAGAAAACTCAATTCGACCAACCAAACAGCACAAGGAGGAGCCGAACGAATCACACTTCCATACACCAGGAACATTTCGGAAATGACCGCACGCTTCCCACGACAGTACAACCCAACAGTGCCCCATCTACCTGCAATCACCCTACGGGGAACACTATGAAACCCAAACGGACAATTAGACACCATGTGAAGGACCAACGTCGCGTGACAAACACTACGTGGGACAAACACGAAGAAATACGTGAACACAAACTTGCAACCAAAGGGCACGGCCAATGTTCACTCGTCTCCATTCGTGAAGATCAAGATGAACAAAAATTCAAAAAATCACAAATCGGCTCAAGCAAGAACAGAGAACTAACGAAAATTCGTGAAAGCATGGCACTCCACCGAAAAAGCCATCAACAAACACATCTAAATCGACCCAGTCTATCGACCAGTACAAGCAAGAAAACTGCGGGACGCTGAGGCGGATTAAGTCAAACAAATAAATTTTCGTAATGCACTACTCAAAGGTTGTTGAAAACTCCCCGACAGCCCACGACCGGTTTCGCCCTTCTTGAGGCTCAACAGGTACGTGCGCAGTTCCCGAGTTTCCGTCAAACTTATGTTCTACTTAAAACCAAGTTGCACGAAATTAGCGAAATACACTCATTTTGCGAACTAATTTGGTTGCCTGGAAACATCAAAACCGAGAGATTCAGCTGGGTTTCGGGTGAATCTCTCGTAAAAACCAAATTAATTTGGAAAATGTGTGTATTTCGCTAAAACGAATTAACAATCAAGTCAAACCAGGCTAAAATTAAGGAAACTGCCAAAAATAGAAACCTCTTTCACCGCCAATTGAATTCAAAGAAGAGAGACCACGACGCAGCACAGACCGAGAACGTACCAATCGAAAACGGACATTAAACACCCCCAAAACAGTCACCCGACCAACCAATGGAATACAAGCATACAGGCCACAATGCAGCGCAAGCCACAATCGGGCCAATGATACTGCAAGTAAGGTATACGCCAATTAGCCATTTACACGACAGGATATAAGATACTACTCAAAAGCTATATAAACGCAGCTAGGCAGAGAGGAGAATACTCATGGGGTTCTTCTTTCATGCCCAGTCCCTTGGGATCGTTCTGTTAATGACGTGTATTTTAGGGGCTTCTTGCCTTCAGATCAGGATCCTGTTGTCTGAGTGAAGTTGAAGTCTTTTGATGAGAATGTCCACGTTGATCCACATTTGTTTCTGCTCAGTGCCTCCGTGAAGTCGAAGCCGGAAGGAGAAGTTTAACACTGACAACTTCATGAATCCGCCAGCTGAAAGCTTTTGACGTCTGACAAAACAGGCAATTATACTTTAAAATTGATTTTGCTGTTAACCACAGCCTTCTTATTACCGTGAACCCCGGTCTGGATAGCCGCCTGATCGCCTGGTGCGCTTGGCCAAACCAAGAAAGTCAACGAACCTGCGAACCGGCTGATCTATTGATCAATGTCGCATACAAGCGGGTCAAAAAAGTGATAATAAGAATACAACTCATCTGTCAAGGGCGAGTGAAGAACAACCAATGAAATCTGTTTCAGCGAATACGGTTATTCCGTTGACTGCTATGTAGTCCCGTTACATTCGGAGCTGGTTCTCCTAATACTCCCGAACACGCATACAAGACTGACAAACGTGGTTATCTCACAATGCCAACGATGAACTCAGCTCTTTCGCATTTCTCCCTTCTGGTGCCTGGTGATCCAGAAGCGATGACTCATCGACAATATGGCTTGGGAAATGCACTCAGGCACAGAACTGAATGGGATCCCAGTAAACAGTTGACTTTGCGCCGACCGGTCATCCAGATCAATCAAGCTCAATCCTCTTTGAATGCCCGTTTTGGTTGTCTGAGCTAATTGGAATCACATTTGCGCGGTCGATTCCCGCAGACGACGGAGATTGACCACTTCAGCTGTGTGCTGATCATGAACTGTTTCCGGCCAGCACGAAGTTTCAGCATAAAAGTTCGCATCGCGTAACTTCAAATCAGCCGTGGACCTAGTTGGACCACGTGGCCATCAGCCACCAGTGGAGAGCCACAATTCAAGACTCCTGTCCCTTCCGGGGCACACCACTTGATTCCGATCACGCCATGGTATATTTCCCTTCGGGTCCTCTCATGTCAGAAAGAAGCATCATCTCCGAAGAACTACCATAGCTCAACGGTATCGAGCTGAGCCAGCTCAACTACTCTCAACAGTAAACCAGCGCTGTACTCGTAGTGAGCACGTGTATGAAGCACAACAAAATGTGGAAAGCGTTCACTGCTCTATGACCGACTTCTCGTTGAGATTTCTACCTATGAGTGATGTCAGGAAATCCATACCTTCAGGCAACAAGCACGGTGGCGCCAAATAGTGTAGAGCCCAAGGAAAGACCGAGAGCTCTGGTCGAAATAGAAGGCTCGGGAGTTGGGGAGGGCTTTTTCTACCGTAAACAGCCGTGCCCTATATCGATTGACATGATCGACCGGTCCTAGGAAATCAGCTGTCACTGAACCGATACGTGAAAACGATGCCTCAATAATTCACTCGCAAAATCGCCAAATGCAGTCAAAATGGGGCATGTTGACAGTTATTCTCATCTTTTAACAGGGGAGGCGGACGCTGTGTGAAAACCACCGTGGTAGCTGTGGCGTCGAAGGTGCTGTCTGGCCTTATGCTTCGAAAGTCGTCTGAACATCGGGAGAGACAGATCCATGAAAATCAAACTGGGTCCCGTCCTTCAAGAGGTTGTATCGATCATGTCTTCACCCTCCGACAAAATCTTGAACAGCGACACTGCTCCCAACAACCAAAAAGGGTTGTGTTCCTCGAAATGAAAGCTGCCTTTGACCCTGTGGACCGTCAAGCACTAAGGCAGTGCCTGTGGAGCAAAGGCGTTCCCACTAAATTTTTCATCCTCCTTGAGACGCTGAATGGCTTCCCACCGCCGTCTGAAGGTCTACGGCAAGCTCCTGTCTGT